TTTGCGGGTCTTGTCTTTTTCTTGCAGGACCCTGTATGTTATAGTACTAAATTAGTTTTAATCGTTTAATCACCACAGGGTCTTGTCTCCATTGGCAACACGCACGATTTGTGTCGATTGCAAGTGACGTCGCAGGTGTCGGAGAGTGCAAGTGGCGATTGCAAGTGACACTGTAATTTAGTTTATTTTTTCTTGTCTTCACCACCTGGCTACTGTTGTAAAATGTTGAGAGATTCAAACAAAAAGTAATCAATAAATAGAACAAAATAAAAAATAAAAAAGACTGCAAGTGACGTCGCGGAAGCACAAGTGTCTGAGAGTGCAAGTGCAAGGCTGCAGCCAGACCCTTCTCCATTTATCTCCACTTGTTCCCAGTGTTTTTCTGCAACCACTATGCGCGCACAGCTGCAAGTGACGTAACTGTGACGTCTACTCTGAATTGGTCTATTATTTGAACGCTTTAGTATTCATTTTGAATCGATTTAAACATTTTAAACACGTGTTTGAGACTTAGAATCTAAATTAAATTAAGTGTACAATTAAACTGTTCAAACAAATCAGTACTGGCCACATTAATCCTGGACATTTTCAATGGCATTTGCAAGTTGCAAATAGTCCGATTTTTCCAGATGTGGTACTGTGAATCACTGCTCTATCTTGTAAAGCCTGTTTTAACAATAACATTGGATTTAAAGAGAATGCTTGTAATAAAAACAGTAACAAAATACAAAAGAATGCAAATTAGGTCAAAGTTCACCTTTAAAATGAGCAGTGCAACCGATCATAGACCCGGCCTAAACTTAAACATTACAACAGTACACTTCAAGAAAACAATGTTATTGCAGCCAGTTATAATAAAACACATTTTAAGGTTTAAAAAAATGGCAGAATCTGTTCTTTCTTACATTTTGGAAGTGAAAGTAAAGCCAAAGACATGATGCACATATCACACATCAACCACTAGATGGCAAGAAAGAGACTTTTTCATGGCTACGGACCCAATGGATTGTGGGTAGGGGGTTTGACTTGAGCTGTCTGAAGAGCTTGATAATAACAGTGATTTGTGAGAAACAGCGTATATTTATATCAGTGTGCAGTCTGCACTGATATAGGGTTAAAAGATAATCTTATGAGGCTACACAATGTTAGATTGCTTTTTACAGCAAACACATCTTAAATTAGGGGCCAATTTCACATTTGCAAAATGTATTCTACTTAAAACACATTGATGTATCCTTCTTTTCTCCTGAAATCCTAAACATTTCTGATTAATCTCTTTATTAAATGAAAACAATCTGGCAACTGACTTGAGATTGAGCTGTTCTACACGAGGCACTAGTAAACCACAAAACCTCAATCATCATACATTCACTTCCAATTCTAGATTTGATCAAATCTACTATGAAACTACAAATCACAGTTAGTAGTTCAGACTCATTACTCAGCATTCAGATTTCCAGAGAAAACTAGGTCTTTGGTGTGGCTAAAGAAAAATTGGGAGAGTGGGTGTGGAATATGTTGATATCATTCTACAAACAACAAATCATAATCTCCCAAATCATAATCATATCTGGCAAATACTGCTTATCTTGTCTCATATTGCAGGCTACAACATTTGATCAACTGTCATTGCTCAAATTCTCTTATATATAATTATACTGGTTTTAGTTCTAGTGTAAAACTGACTGTCATTCTCATCACAATGGACTAAACGATACTTCATGGATACTTATGGGGTACAAATCTACAACCATTTAATTACCAGCCCAGATTGTTAGCAATTACTACACAACAACCTCCTTATTTTCCAGTCATTTAAACAAATCTGGGGAATAAATGCCATTATAATACATCTCATTTGCTGATAACCTTAATTCTTGTCTTCTCTCTAGGTCATAGTATTCTATTTTTACAACCTGGCTAGCTGCAGTTTACCTCCATGTCAGTCATCCAACAAACATGGCCATGATTTGACCTCAACTCCTCCACACTCCTGTACAGCACGAATGACATGCACAACACAAACACTACTGAGAAATGACACCGTACTGCAAAACGCTTCATAACCCAATAAAAATTGACCACATAAAAAACCCAATGCATGCAGTACATCACCCCAAACACTGTGCTTATCTTCATTCATTCAGTGCATTACACAGAACTCAGCGTTAGTTTATTTTTAGACCACGCGCATGGTTTACAGCAATGTATAAGCATAGGTTATGCGAGTATATTATTAACAGGCCATATATATAATGTTACTGCTCAGATAAACGGCTCGTGGACTCTTGAGTTCAACGCACACGCGCCTACGTGACAGAGTCTTGTTTACTTCTTCCTTCTCGCGCACACAATACCAGCTGCTTCCGCCAGAGAACAGCCATAACCTCATGCTCCTTACCCCTCTTATCCAGATTCTGCGTGTTTTTGGACCGGCCGGCGCCCCTCATTGTCCTCGTTTTGTGTGTTAGTGCTTTATTTTGATGCTCGAGCCTTGAGGTATAAAGGAGGACAAGTATGTGAAAACACAAGCGCACACGCCCACTGATTGACAGCTGGCGCAGCCAATCGCTGCGAGGCAGTGGCGAGGGGACACACCCACCTATCATTAGAAGGAATCAGGGGAAAGTTTGTGTTGATATTGTTGCGCAGTGTTATGCAACGCTTTATATGTTACACAGGAATGTGTCACAGTGTAATCAATGATTACACTCGAGTCTTTGTTTGCAAGTTTAAAGAAAATGGATGGGATTTTTGAACACGCCCAAAAACTATTTAATCTTTAACAGTATTTTATGTTTTTTTTTTATATACATTTTTTTTTCTAGTATAGCCTACATAATATACTATGAATAAACTATATATAATAATAATCTATAATATATAGCCTATAATAATTTATTTTATTAAGTATTATGTAGTATTTTTGGTGAAACTAAAAAATATAATCTGGAATTACAATAGTATGTTTTGGAGCAAAACGATATGTTAAAGTATCTAAAAACGTATTTTGTGGAAAAGAAAAGTCTTTAATAGAAAATAGGAAAAAGGTCATCTAAAATGAAAGTATAATATGTGATTTTTATATTTACTGTTCTTTTTTTTATTTTTCATTAATTGCATATATATATGATTTTTGGTGAAACTAAAAAAATATATAATCTGGAATTTCAAAAGTATGTTTTCAATCACTATATATGTGGGGGAAAGAAAATTCTTTAATAGAAAATATATAATCTAAAATTAAAGTATAATAGGTGCTTTTTTATTTATTATCTATTAATTTCTTCATATATACAAAGATATATGTACACTCTAAAAAACGCTGGGTTGTTTCAACCCAACTTTGGGTCAAATATGGTCTTATATATGCCCTTATTCTAGGACTTATATGAAAGTACTTTATATAAAAGTACATTCTTTATATGAAAGTTTTGCCTTAAAAAAACATATATCCTTATATCAAAGTGTCATGTGTTATAGCTATGGGTATTTGAAGATTTCATTAAGAAAATAAAATTCACATGCTTTAAAAAGGAATTTCACCTTTTAAATGTGGAGAATCTAATTTAATAAGGCCTACATAGCAGACTAAGGTAGGAGAGGTGTTTTAAATGCACGCTGTCTCTCAGGACGTCTCGGCTACATTAGGGACATTTTGACCTGCTGGATGCTGCAGTGCTTTCGCATTCAAAAACATATTTAGCCTGTTCAGTGGAACATGTGGCTCACGTACCGTAGTAAAGCATCAGTAAAGCATCAGTCAGACAGAGCTGTGGACACAGGCCAAGTCAGGACACAGGTCACACGGGTCTCATAATAACTATATGGCAAATGTCAATAAATAAACACTTGACTTGCAGTCATTGTCAGTCAGTGTTTTTGTTGCTTGTTCAGTCACTAGACTGAGACTTTCTGGTAAGATGTAAAAAAGGCAAAAGTGTGACGTTAGTCACGGTTACGCTCCGACTGGAACAAAGCAGGGCATGAAATTGTGATGAGGGCATGAAATTAAGAAGGGTCCTCAGGAACAGGATGTAAATGTGATCTGGTGCACGCAAACACACACACAACACACACATCAACACACAGTCACACACACACGTCAACATAAGCTTGTGATCTCTCCATCAGACAGTGCACTGTTTTTACATTTACAATAACAATAGCACAAAGTGTCGAAAAAGTTGGGCTGTCTGACAAAATATTTAGAGTGTCACAGAGGAAAAACGGTCTAACAGATGAACGTTAAGAGGTTGGAGGAGGCTGAAAATAAATACACAACTTGTGACAACAGGTCCTGATCATTACGTGTCTGTCCGGAACATTCTTCATGAAGGCCAGAGTGATTAGTGACCCTGCCTTCCCAGTCTTACCTCTATTCCGAGCTTGAGCTAAACACCCTCAAAGCTCTGCTGTAAACAAATACTCTTCATACCATAATATATAAGAAATTAAATACAGTCAAAAAACATCGGTCCTATGCATATATACTGTACACTGGTCTAAATATCACATTGTTAATTTGTGTTTTTATGCAAAACAAAGAGATTCAGGAATTTTAGTGCAATAACACTTCGATTATAGGTGAGTTTTACTTGTGGCATTGTAGATCTGTTGAAGTTGCTCCAAGTTTTGTGGGATTTAAACATTTTATTTAAGATAAAGCAACTGAGAAAAAGGAGTACCTCTAAGCTCTTTAAATGTGTTACTGGAAACAATATTTTAATAGTTAAACTTGAAGTACTAAAATAACTCAAACTAAAAAAATATAAAAATAACAAAAACTATAGCAGTATATCAATGAAAATAATATAACACTGGTATAAAGACAGTTTGTGAAAAAGTCATCTATTTTGTTTTCATTTTCAGCAGCATGTCTATTGTTTGATCATCTATCAAATTCTTCTCATTAAAATAAGTATCACTTTTTGAAATTTTCATTTGACATTTTGAGTGTGGATCTCATTATACTGTATATTACAGAAAAAAAAACCCCATCTCATAATAATTGTTCATGATTGTGGTTGAGGTAAGTTGCATGTGGTGATTATTCAAAAAACCAAACATTTTCAAAATACCATTTCAAAACTGTTTTGACTGTAATAGTTTTCAACCACAGGCTTGGCGCAGGCACTTGTTCTTCAAACATCAGGTGGCAGAAACTAGGGGAAAGGTCACTGTTAAGTGGTCATCTAAATATGTTCACTAGAAAGTGGCCCGCTATCAGCCAGACTAATGCTGGCTTTGCACCAGAACACTGATAAGTTCTAGTTATAAACCGTATGCAGTGCCTGACCACAAAGAAAACAGAGTATTTAACACGGGCTGCTTTGAAGTGATGCATTTTCTGTCAAATTTCCGCAATAAAACATTTTTACAAAAGTTAAAATGGAAAAACATTCCTTCTCAGAATTTACTCAGCTGTGTAGTAACAACACGTGTAAGTACCTTTGGGAAATCCTAACATTTCATCAGAATATTGAGCTGAATGGGTAATTATCTCTAGTTAATGCACATTCTGGCAACTAAAATAGTAAACAGCTGAATGTCTGAGATGGTGGAAGGAGAGATCAAGTATGTAGATGTCAACTTCTCTACAACTGACTGCTCCACTAAGGAATGAAGCCTGTAGAAAATGACCTGTAGAGGTCAGCTTATTAGTTACTTATGCAGATGTTCAGGTTCAGGGAGTGACTCACTGCACCAAAAAGCACCATATTTCGCAATACAATGAATACTGTGAAATATTTCCAGTACAGACACACAATTCCTCTGAATATGTATTTAAATTTTTTTATTTGCATTAAAAAGGGCCAATAACAAAAGCCCAAACATCAACCAATTAAAGTATTAGTTCACCAAAAAAATTAAAATTTCCTGACAATTTACTCACTTTCAAACCATCCGAGATGTAGATCAGTTTAAAAACGTCTTAATGATGGATTTGTTTCTTACAAACATGCAGCTTTTCACTTCACAAGATGTTAATTGACGGACTGTAGTCATGTGGATTATTGTGATGTTTTTATCAGCTGTTTGGACTCTCATTCTCACGGCACCCATTCACTGCAGAGGATCCATCGGTGAGCAAGTGATGTAATGCTACATTTCTCCAAATCTGTCCTGATGAAGAAACAAACTCATCTACATCTTGGATGGCCTGAGGGTGAGTACATTTTCAGCAAATTGTCATTTTTTGGGTGAACTAACACTTTAAGTCTCTGGAGTGAACTGCATGATAGGACTAATGAGACACACAGAAACACATCGTATACAAATACACATACATAACACATACATAGTGCGAATAGTGCGTATCAAGTAATAGATCAGTACACAAAAAAGACATTAATGAACACTCACATACAGCTAAAGGATTTTAAAGCAGCTTTTTAAAGTCTTCTTCACTGCTGGTGGTAGAAACAAGGACTTCCTCTGTATACATGTGCATTCCGTCCAATTATTCCTCTATTGTTCTTGTTTATCAACAAAACTGTCTCCTGTTCTTGCCTTTTCCCTTGATCCATCCATCCTCTGTTTTTCTACACTCTTAAAAATAAAGGTGCTTCACGATGCCATAGAAGAACCTTTTTGTCTAAATGGTTCCATAAAGAGCCTTTAACATCTGAAGAACCTTTCTGTTTGACAAAAGGTTATTTGTGGCGAAAGAAGGTTCTTCAGATTACAAAAAGGTAAGAAAGAGATGGTTCTTTAAAGAACCTTTGACTAAATGGTTCTTTGTGGAACTAAAAATGGTTCTTCTATGGCATCGCTTGAAGAACCTTTTGAAGCACCTTTATTTTTAAGAGTGTATGGAGAGCCCATCTATTTCACTATGCTTCCATTCTTGCTCTTGACTCCTTTTATCTGATCTTGCACTTCCCTTCGTGTCATTGATCTGTCTGTTCTTCATCTCCAGTCCTTCATTGGCTACTGCATCCGCTTCCTCCACTCTTCTCCCCTGTCGCTGCTTTCTTGCGTCTCTTGTTCAGCAAGGGGTTACTGGAGGCATCCAAGTCCTTAATCTTCACCTGCTCGTAATCTACACGCATGGTGGCCAATGCACTGGTTAACTCTTCCTACAAACCAAGAGACAAAAAAATGTACATAGTATAAAGTATAAATAGCATAAAGTTATTTTTATATATATTTTTTACTTTTATTATCAATATCAGTATTATTATTAAAAGGTAATTACTGTTAATAATAATAATAATAAAAATGATTGTTTATATAAATGGCATAGATATATTCTATATATTTAAATAGTATAACAAATTCTATTTAATTATAATTAATGTGTGTATGCAATTTAAAAAATAACAATATTCATTATTATTATTATTAAAATATTAACAATATTAATAATAATAATAATGACGACGATGATGTTGATTTGTTTAAATTGCATAGTGTAATTAAAATTAAAACTAAAACCATAAAAACATTTTAATTACTTGAAATAAAATATTATAAAAAAGCTTAAAGTTATTTTATTTCAGCTAGTTGCCATTTCTCTTTCGTTTAGTTTGACTAATAAACTAATAAACTAATAAAAAAAAAAATAAAGATAGACATGAAAAAAAGACAAAAACATAACAAAATTACTGAAACTTTAACTGAAAGTAAAAACAGAAAATCTAAAAATAATTTTGAATTAAAAATATTAATAAAACTTAAAGGGGTCATATGATGCGATTTCAATTCATTGGAGTGTTACAAGCTCTTGGTGCATAAAGAAGATCTGTAAAGTTGCAAAGACTAAAGTCTCAAATCCAAAGAGATATTCTTTATAAAAGTTAAGAGTCAGCCACGCCCTCCTAAAACGGCTCGTTCTAACACGCCGCCAAATGTCTATGTCACGATGTGGGAAGATTTACATAACACCGCCCAAATGTTCCCGCAAAGAAAGAAGGCGTAACTTTTATTCTCGCTGTAGTATTGTTGCTGCCGCCGCCGCCATGTCGTGAAGGCGCTGTGTGTTTCGTTATGAAAGCGAAACCACTTTGTTTGGCCTTCCAAAAGAGGACACAACTACAAATCAGTGGTTAAGTTGTATTTACAACACTGTTCTGGAAAAGTTCAACACAAATATTCAGATGTGTGCAGTGCATTTATTGGAGGACGAGGACTGTTTCCTGGGAGAGTAGCCTACAATGCCGGGGCAATACGCAACGCAGCACGTAAAAAGACAGTATAAGTCATTATAATCAGTAATTATGTCCCCACTGGATGCAACAAATGCCTCGTTTATAGTGGGTTTTATTAGTGTTGTCTCATCGCGCGGGACACGGCATCAACAGTATGGTGGGGCGAAACATTTCCGTCACACGCTTGAGGTATTCGGCCAATCACCATATGATGCGAAAGCAAAAGCACTATTTGGCCTTCCGAAAGTAGATGCATTTTATGGACGACCGTTTCGTGAACCTAGGAGAAGAGGTAATTCTGACTTTGCTATGACAATCTGGCGCTTCTGAATCAGCTACTGTTTTGTTATTAGTTTAAGTATTTGCTACTGACTGTTCAAATGCGGAGTTTTGCGCATCTTGTGTGTGCTTGTGTGTGTGTGTCTGTGTGTGTGCGTGTGTGCGTGTGCGCGCGTGTGTGTTTATTTTGAAAGATGAAGCTCGCGATTATGGTAAGGGGCATTACATTTCCGACGAGTGCTTGCGGTGTTCGGCCAATCACAATGCACTGGGTCAGCTGGCCAATCAGAGCAGACTGCGCTTGTCGGAAGGAGGGACTTTGTAGAAAACGAAGCATTTGAGAGAAGCGGGGCATAGAGGACCTACAATAACGTACAGTATTTGAAAAATAATGTGTTTTTTGAACATTAAAGCATGTCAACATATTCTGTTACACCAAATACACAAAATAATGATCTTTAAAAAAGCATCATATGACCCCTTTAAACAACTTGTCAGGAATCCGGTCTATGGACTTCTGTTTGTTCACCACCAGAGGTCACTATCCACCACATGTACTCTCATACTACACAGACTGTTACATGTCACCCCGGACTACATTTACCATATTTAATTTCACTCATTACATTCACACCTGACACCAATAACACAGATTATATAACACCCATTCACATGGGCTGCGTTCCACTCCACCTTTAGACATGCACTCGCGAACTTCCCTAAGCACTTCCCCTCGGGGGAATCCCCGCTGCCATTTTTAAGTGTGTTCCACTTTGCGAAGTGGACGAGGGAAGTTTATATGGACAGACACTCGACCCCTCGATTTTGACCGAGGGAGCGAGTCTGCTTCATATGCACACTTCAGGTCGCTCCATAGACAACAATGCAACACGATTATGACGTCATCGCAGATCGCGTTTCATTTATCCCCACCCCAAACAAGTCTATAATATATAAATGATTTTTTTTTTACTTTTATAACAGCCCAGGCATACCTATATACATGTAGAATGCTGCACCAAACAAATTCATAAGGGGAAAAATGTAAACAATAAACTAACTGAATAGCTGATTCTAAGTGATCAAGGGCTTAGGACGTTCCAGTTCAGCCCATTCCAAGGGTTCCGCCAGAAGTGGGCACTCATGCAACGTAATCAATGATGTACATCCAAGTAAACGAGACGGAGGGAAGTTTGCGAGTGAAGGGCATAAAAAAACGGACTGGAACGCAGCCATGCTCTTCTGGGCCGAGTATTGTTAGTGTTTATCTCTGCTTAGCGATAGCTACTGAACGGAGCCAGTCCTGGTATTCTAGTCCTGTCAAGTCTCGCCAGTTTAGTCTAGTCATGTTTTAAGACATCTTGCCTGTCTTTGGATTATTCTCTTGTCCTGCTCTCTTTGGACTCTGTTTGACCCTCGCCTGAACTATTGCCTGTGTTTCGGATTACCCTTTTGGATTACCCTGTTTGGACATTGTTCGCCGGAGATCAACCACACCTGTTTACTGGACTACTCTTTTGTCTTGCCCATGATATGCCTGTTTGCCAGTGTCTGACCCTTGCCTGTTTTGTAACCACGTTGTGAAATAAAGCTCTGCAGATGGATCCGAACGCCTCTGTCACTTTCTCCGTAACGCTACTATTAAATAAAACGTTTTTTTATTATTTTATTCATATACAGTATATTGCATAAATAAATAAAAACACATTAGTTTGCATTAGTATACCAAGTGTTATTCTATTTACACTACACATACAAACTGAATTTGGTCTCTGTCTCTGTTTAAAGAGAAAATCTAAAAATAAAATTGAATTAAAAATATTAACAAAACCTGTAATATTATATCAATGATACTACTATTATATAACACTGTTTTATTATTTATTATTTATATATATTCGATATATCTGTTAAATTACATACATATACACTAGTCAACATTTGAAGTGGATCAAAACCTTTCATCAAAGTTGTCCTAAAACCTAAAACCAAAATGCGTTCTTGTCTTAGGACAACTTTGATTAACTTTTTTGATCCACTTCAAATGTTGACTACTGTATGATGATATATACATTGCCACTACAGTTACTTGAAATGAAATGAAAATGAACTGAGTTGAGTAGTTTTTATCCTGCTGTGTGGCTCCCCCTTGAGAATTCAGGTGGTATTACAGAAAATATTGTTACCATTCTTCAGTGTCAGATATTACATGAAAAAAAAAAAGCACACAAAACAACGAAAAAGCCACCTAAATGGTATTTGGCCATTATTCTAAACAGGTAGTGCAATTATCTGATTGGGCAGAGCAATCTGTGCTCACCTTGACCTCGTCCCACATCTCGCTGTCTTCTGTCAGCACTCGTGTGGTGTGGAGAGGCGTTTGGGGAACCACCATGGATTGCTAAAAGAAACATCTCAGTGTTGGATCCTTGTATATACAGAAAAACATATATCTAAAGAAACACATTCAATCAGCTGAAATACTCACATTGATCCAGGGGTGGTTCATGAATTGTTCAATGGTCATTCTTTCATTGGGGTCAGTCTTCAATAGCTGGTGAATCAACTGTTTGGCTGGAGGAGAAGAATATTATATATCCGTAAGAGGAACGTGACTGTTTTAGTTCCCCATAATCAAGAACAGTGTTTTGAGCATTACAGATCTGGCTGTGGGGTACAAAAAATGTTGAGAAATACTGATCTAGATAGTGAATCATGGCACCAGTGTGAACAGAACTGAAACCCAGATTGGATTTACAAACACAGCCAGAATATCTGAATATTCAGAATATTTATTGATATTTGCAACATATTCCAAACACGGTCTGTACCAATCTGTATGTTCCATAGAAATCAATGTTTCATAAAACGTTCTATAAAATCCAATTTGGGATTGTTCCCTCTTGCTCAATATTCAATATATATTTCTAATTGCATGAACATATGATGTTTCTAATGCTTTTTCTAATTTAGGATTGTTCCCTCTTGCTGTAACAAGTACACATAGACATAATTAATTGGACATAATATATATATATATATATATATACACACACACAAACACATATTGTCTAATTAATTATGTCTATGTGTACTTGTTACAGCAAGAGGGAACAATCCTAAATTAGAAAAAGCATTAGAAACATCATATATTGCAATTAGAAATATATATTGAATATTGAGTAATATATATATATATATATATATATATATATATATATGTATATATATATATACACACACAATATCTCTG